TTAAGAAATTACAATCATATTTGGTGTTTTCTTCATAGAAGTTTCTGTTTTCCTATTTATATCTTTTTAGTAGAATTTAGGTTTCATTCTCTAAGTGAGATTTTTTTCCCCTTACATTTTCCAAGTAGATATTTGTGGGTTTTATGACCAATGAAGCTGTTTTTGTTAGTGGATAGAATCTATAAGGCCATTAATTATACTTCTTGATTCTATCCTACCAGATACTGGGGAAACATTATGTATATACTGATACATGGCCTAGTGCTATAATTTATCCCACAAGATTTCTATCTCATGAAAATCCTAATTTCTAAGAAGCAAATGAAGTGATAAACATGAAAATGCTTGCTTGCCATTTTAAAGTACTTCTACATTTGACATCTAACTTCTATCTCCATGAACTTCTTTCCTAAATTTCAGACCCATAAATCAAAGTGATATCTAAACACTTACACTTGAATCATGCCATACACAATTCCAAATCAAACATATAAACATCTTCCCTCCAACCTTTCTTTTTTTCCTCCATTCATTTCTCATTTAATATCTGATACTACTATCCAACCACTTATTCAAACCTTAACTCATCTAATTACCACTAAAGTGATATCCTTTAAGAGAAATCTGACCATACAGCTTCTTTAGTGGATTTCCAGTCTTCAGCAGAGTCCAAACCCTTTAAAATTACTCATTATCTGAAACTTAGTTCTTACTCTCAATGTCTGTCCCTGCCTGACTGCCACATAAAAAAACATGACTGTGAGCGTGTGCGTTCACACACACAGACACACAGGTCAAGTCAAGCACCTGTTCTAAGCTCCAGTCCCACAGCCAAAAGTGCAGCACTGTGAACTCACCACAATCTCACCTGTGCCCTAGGAGAATTCCACTTTTAGCGTTAGGTCTACTCTTTGGGATTGTTATTACTGGACTAATATGTCAAGTATATTTGAACATTCATTAAATGTCAGTTAAACTGAAGTCAGATTACATTGCAAAAAAATGAGGTAAGGTGGCACCGGCCTGGTGGCACAAGCGATTGGGTGTGCGTGCTCCGCTGCTGCGGCTCGGGGTTCGCCGGTTCGGATCCCGGGCCTGCACAGACATGCCACTTGCCAGGCCATGCTGTGGCGGTGTCCCATATAAAGTGGAGGAAGATGGGCATGGATGTTAGCCCAGAGCCAGTCTTCCTCAGCAAAAAGAGGAGGATTGGCAGATGTTAGCTCAGGGCCGATCTTCCTCACACACACACACAAAAAATTTTTGATAAATTTTACACTGGAAATTTTGATAAAATGCAGCTTTGAATATCATGACTTGGGAAATCAAAAAAAGTCTTAGGCATATCTAAGGACACAAATTGAAAAATAGAACCCCTTTCATAAATATAAGGCTGCAAAAGATTAACTCAACTTTATCTTAGGACTCAAAGATTTTCCACAAATAGTTTCCAGAAGAAAATGGACAGCATACAGTAAAAACAGCCAAGAGCACAAGGAAAAAACACAGCAAAAGCATGAGCTAGAATAAGATGCAGAAGTAGATTACAAAAACTACAGATATTTAAATTATTGGATGTAGATTATAAAATAACTATTTATGCTATGTTTAAGAAGTAAAAGATGGGGCCGGCCCAGTGGCGCAAGCCGTTAAGTGCGAAAGCTCCGCTGTGGCGGCCCGGGGTTCGCCGGTTTGGATCCCGGGGACACACCAACGCACTGCTTGGCAAGCCATGCTGTGGCGGCATCCCATATAAAGTGGAGGAAGATGGGGACGGATATTAGCCCAGGGACAGCCTTCCTCAGCAAAAAAAGAGGAGGACTGGCAGTTTTTAGCACAGGGCCGATCTCCTCACCAAAAACAAAAAAAGTATAAGAAAGCTTCAAATACCTGTGTCAAACAGGGAATCATAAAATGACTTTGAAGATTTGGAAGAAAAACAAATAAAATTTGGAAAAGAATAATTTTTTTTTTTTTTTTTTTTTTAAAGATTTTTTTTTTTTTTCCCCCAAAGCCCCAGTACATAGTTGTCTGTCATAGCTGCACATCCTTCTAGTTGCTGTATGTGGGACGCGGCCTCAGCATGGCTGGAGGAGTGGTGCCTCGGTGCACACCCAGGATCCGAACCCGGGCTGCCGGCAGCGGAGCGCACGCACCTAACCGCTAAGCCACGGGGCCGGCCCAGAATAATTATTTTTGCATCTATCTATCTATCTTAGAAAGTGAAAGACTTGCCAGTTAAAACCAAGAATATAAGAACTATTTGTGATGTATGAACTGCTGATTATCTCCTCAAACATTGCCTCTGTCCTTTATTTTATCTTCTGTTCCATTGGAACATCACTTAGATATGTGGTAGACCTGACTCTTGCCTGCACATCTCTTTTTTTATCCAGGTCGTCTTCATCTCAATA